CCCCTTCAGCCTGACAAATTTCCTTTATCACTGATTGTAGTGCAGGCCTTCTGGAAATAAATTCTCTCAGATTTTGAAAAACCAAAAATGTCTTTATTTCACCTTGTTTTGAAGGATATTTTTGCTAGATTTAGAATTCTAGCTTGATAAAGTTATTTATTTTTTTTAATTTATTGTTTTTATTTTGTCTTCCAGCACTTTAAAGATGCCGTTGCATTATATTCTAGCCTCTGTTGTTGTTGGTGGGAATCCTTTGGTTAACTGCGTCACTGTTACCTTTTACCTAATATGTCATTTATCTCCGGCAATGTTCAAGATTTTTCTCTTTATCTTTAATATAGGTTTTAGCAATTTTACTGTAACGTTTCAAGGTGTGGTTTTATTTTATTTATCCTGCTTAAGATTTGTTAAGCTTCTTGCATTTGTAAGTTAAGGTGTTCAGCCAGTTTGGGATGCCTTCAGCCATTATCTCTTTGAATATTTTTTCTGATCTGTTTTTTCTGTCCTCTCCTTCTCAGACCCCAATTACATGTATATTATACTACTTGATATTGTCCTGTAATTCACTGAGGTTCTGTTTATTGTTTTTAATCTTCATTCTCACTGTTCTGCACATTGGATAATGCTTATTGATCTGACTTTAAGTTTACTTACCCTTTATTTGGTCATTTCCATTCTTCACTAAGGCTATCCAGTGAAATTTTTGTTTCAAGTATTTTACTTTTCAGTTCCAGAATTTTCACTTGGTTCTTTTTAATCATTTCCATTTCCCTGCTGAGAGTCTTCTTCTTTCAATTATTATGACCATGTTTTCCTTTATATTCTTGAATATATTTTAACACCTGCTTTAAAGTTATTGCCTGAAAATTCCAACATTTCGGTTACTTCAAGTTCTATTATAGCAATTACATTTTTACTTGATTATGGATAACAATTTCCTATTTCTATACATATCTGTTAATTTTTGATTAGATAATAAATATTATGAATGACATGTAATAGAGGCTCTAGATCTGTTTTATTCCTTTAAAGAGTGTTAACATTTTTGCTTCAGACAAATTACTAGCTGAACCTGTGAATGCTTTAGGATTACACTTTGTTATGACCTACTTTGGTTTTGCCCTTAGTTTTAGGATGAATCCTTTATTCTTAAGGCGAGGCCTTCCTGAGGGTTCAGACAAAAACCTAAGTGTTTGCCAAGTCCCTATAACTTGGGTGAGATTCAAATTCCAAACTCTACAGGCAATCTTTGTAGGCAGTAGGCAGCTACTGAAATGTCTTCTCAGCTTTTCAGCTCTCTAGCTATTGTCTTCCACTGGGCTCACTGGCCTTTCTCTGATACCTATGCAGTTTAGAAGTCACCCAAGCATGGAGGAGAATTTATATACAGAAGTGGAACTCTCTTCTCTATGGCTGCCTCCTTTCTGGAATTTCTTCCCTTAAATCCCAGCCACTCTGGCAGCCTTGAACTCCATCCTCATACACTTCAAGAATATATGACTATGGCCTTGAGTTGTAGTTACTCTTGGTGGAATGGGGAGTGCCCTCAGGAGAGAAGCTGTAAAAATGTAGGTCTCATGCATTCCAATTCTTTCTCTCAAGGATCAAATTGCCAATATTTCTGCCTTCTTTTGATCAGCCTCTAGTGTCTTTAAATAGTTTTGTTTTGTAAAAAATATTTCATCCAGAGTTTTTTTTTTTTTCTTTGCGGTACGCGGGCCTCTCACCATTGTGGCCTCTCCCGTTACGGAGCACAGGCTCCGGACGTGCAGGCTCAGCGGCCATGGCTCACGGACCCAGCCGCTCCGCGGCACGTGGGATCTTCCCGGACCAGGGCACGAACCCGTGTCCCCTGCATTGGCAGGCGGACTCTCAACCACTGTGCCACCAGGGAAGCCCTTTTTTTTTTTTAAGATTTTACATACAAATGAGGTCATATGGTATTTGTTTTTCTCTGCCTGACTTATTTCACTTAGGATGATGCCCTCAAGGTCAATCCATGTTGTCGCAAGTAGCAGGATTTCCCTCTATGGCTGAATAATATTCCATTGTGTACAGATACCACATTTTCTTTATCCATTCATCCATCAGTGAACACTTAGGTTGCTTCCATGTCTTGGACACTGCAAACAATGCTAATCTCTCGTTTTTAAAAGAGGCTAGTGAGGAAAGATGCTTTTTCATAAAATGAGCTGTCTGGATACTCTCAATTTTATACTACAATTTAAAACCAAAAAGTGGCTTTAAATGACTCAGAGGTCATGGAACTATACAGACAGAGGGATGTATAGGCATTACTGAAGCCAAGTCTGTCCCACCAAACCACAAATGTAGAAGAGGTATCTTTCCTAGTGCCTGTGTGTATGTTATTTACAGTTTTCAGCTCTCCTTCACCTCTTTGGTTTCCATGGAGCTCATAATTTTTGGTCTGTTTTATCACCTTGTTCCATCTTCTGGCATCTGTATACTCCTGATTCTCCTAACCTGGCTTCTAAGTCATTTTGATTGCTCTGACCCTTAATGTTGAGTGTCCTCTCAAAATCCACATGTTGAAGTCCTAACCTCCAGTACTTCAGAATGTGATTTTATTTTGAGATAGCATCTTCACAGGGTAATCAAGTTAAAATGAGAACATTAGGGTGGGCGATAATCCAACATAACTAGTATTTTTATAAAAGGGGGAAATTTGGACACAGAGACATGCAGAGAAGGAAGATGATGTGAAGAAACACAGGGGGAAGATGTTTATCACCCAAACAACGAACAAGGTCTGGAATTGATCCTTCTTTCACAGGAGAAACAAACCCTAATGACTGATCTTGGGCTTCTAGCCTCCAGAACTGAGACAATAAATTTCAGTTGTTTAAGGGACCCAGTCTATGCTACTTTGTTACAGCAGCCCTAGCAAACTAATACACTTACCACTTAACAAATAAATGGGTCCCCACTTTTCTCCTTGGTTCTGACTTATGACTTTGTTTTGTCTCCTAAGATCCCCTGACCCCTCAGTATGGTAAATGGCCAAAAAAGCTGAATATCCAAAGATGTGTGTCCCAATTTTTTCACTTAAGTTGAATGACTTTTCTGATCCTTAGAGTCCTTATATATGAAATGAGGATATTGTCTTACCTATCTGTCTGCATAGATAAAGCTCAGATAGGATACCACACAGAAACTGTAAAATGCTACGCAAGTCTAAGGCATCCTGAGTCCCTGCTCTTTATTCATAATGAGCTGCTCCTCTTGCCTAATTATAACAGACCACGGTTAGAAGGTTCTTTGGGAGGATCAAGTTTAGAATTCTCCACTTTTAAGAGGGATACTTGCAGCCTCAGGCTTTATTTCTGCTGTTTCTAGTTCAAGAGGCAGGATATGAGATGGATGACTAAGTCTGTTTTGCTCAAAGAGACAAGAATGTGGGGTGATGCTTCAAACTTTCACTGCTCACAAATCTCCAGAGGGTGTAAAAATAATTCCTCAGACAACATATTTATTTTGATAAGGTAATGAGTTATGGAAACCAATTCTTTCAGAGAATGGACTTTTCGGAGCTGTATAAGGGGCGGAGAACTTTAGCAGCACATCAAACTGTATTAACAAAATCGGAGCCCACTGAATGTGATTTTAAATTTGAAAAAATTAAATGCAGGATGCCAGCAGCTTTCCAAAATATTTTGTATGCTCCTTTGCCTGTTTTTAAGATGATTTGTTAACGAGAATTTGAAAAATTGTTGTTTCTACAGTAATTAACACTTTTATAAAATTATTTATAAAAAATATAACTTACTCCCAAATAGTTGACATTCTAGTTGCATAAATTCTTATCTAGTCTCAAACACTGCTCAAAAGAACTACATATTTAAATGATTCTACCCATTTCAGTTCTCTAGAATGCCTCCAGATGGCATTAAAACCCTTCTCCTACTATATTTTACAATCAAAAATTTAAAAATTAGTAATATTTTAACCATTTAAAACCAGTCACATTCATTGTATCATTAGAAATCATGATAATGGAACTATTTTGAACTTTTAGGGTAACATCTTAAGAAACATGTAATCATAACTTTTATGAAACAAACAGCCATCCTATGTAAGCCAAAGGCTCTTCCTAGATTGAGAAACAGATCTTGGACAAATACACTCAATAATGTTATATCGTAAGCTGTCATTTCTAATGAATAGCACTTTAAATGCTTAGTAATAAGAGCACTGGTCCAAATATAGATATATGCACAAAACTGTCTTATAATAAGAAAATACATTTAACTCCTCAGAAATGATAAAAAATAATGATTTTTAAGGAGTAAACCTGTTACTAATTCCTATGGAGCTAAAATAATTTGTTAGCTTGTGAATTATGTAAACTTTAGCATATAAATTTGGCATCGAATTAATCGTCAAAACATTTTTTGGATTGCTTGGCTATCGAGGGGAAAAGACAAAACGTAGAGTGAAGAACATGTTTTAAAAGCCTTTTCTTATCTTTTCAAAACTGTGTTTGTTAACTCAAAACTATGAACAAACCCTTGAGGGTCCAGAGATATCTATAACTGTATATTTCACATAATTCAGAGGTCAGGTTGCAAAGGGCAGGCTTTAAAATGACACTGGTACTTCCCAGGTGTGCAGGACAGACTATCTCCTAGTATGTGTGAAAAGTCCTCTAATTATTTATGACAGTGATGGAAGTTGCCAAGCAAATTCCAAAAGCTTTCCTCCCCTCCCCCTGCCAAAATAATACCGTCAAATCTTGTTACATTTGTACTTTATGAAGAGGAGCCTTGTGTTTTCAAGATTATTCTTACTGGGTTAAAGCATAAGAAAGACCTCAAAATGCATACGCACCCAAAAGCATTTAAAAACACATTATCATGAGAAAGAGAACCACAGCCTTCTTTCCATTATTACTGTTACTATAACAAGTTATTTGCGCTGTTTCATATTATAAGCATATTAAAGAACAGTCATCTTGGGATAGAAACAGGAAACAGACTTACGATGTATTCGATGTGCCATTGTCTGGACTCCCTGGCTCAGCATCACCTTTCTCTTAAAAAGGAAGAAAATACCAACATGTGAGCGTTACAGCCTATAAGATTTAAGAGAGGTTCAATATATTTCCACACTCCTACTAACAACCATTCAAAATGTGCAGCAGGAGGCTTTTCAAACATCTTTTTTATTGTCCAAGAAGCGGATTTGCAAAATAATTTATTCTTTGTAATACAATGGCCCAGGCAAGGATCTGTGAATAGGTACTACGGAGCTGTTTGCAAACAAGCAGAGGTTCAGAGTGGAGACCCTGCCAAAAGATGAATACCTTACAGATGGAATCTGTTTCCTTCTACTTCTTTTACAGGAAACTTAAGGAAATAAACCCCATTAGCATTCTAGATGCAAGGCGTTTTGGATTCTGATCCCTTCTGCTAACACAAGCTAAACCAGGTCAGGTGACATCAGAACTTGGAGGAGAGAATTCTACACAACACTGAGGTTGCACCCTAGCTTACAAGATTCTCAAGAATTACACCCCACAGAGAGCCCCAGCAGCAGGTTCTGGGGTCACCCTGTTAATGCAGAATAAGATATAAATCAGAAATCCTTCCTGGCCATCTGAGAGACTAGTTAAAGAAATGTTTCTGCCGTCTGTGGTCACCAAGGATTGAATGGGTTTTAATGAAGGGAGCCTGGAACCAGTTCGTTTCTTGTAGTTCTAAAGGGCAAATTCCTCTTGCAATTGACATAATGTAAGTCTTAGATCCTCGACCATTGATGGCTTGACACCACACATCCTTGTATTGTAAGGCACTTCTTTTTGTTTTCTTGAGGCTACGGGATGGAGGAAGGTCATGACTGCCATTGTGAGTTAGCTGTGGTTAGTTAGGCTGGTTATGTAGTGCTAATAGTCTAACATACCCCAGAGAAGGTTATGAGTTGCAAGAGATGGGCATGATGGTGGCAACTTGCTTTGCTTTGCTCTTTCAAGTCAGGCCTGGAGACCTCACAGAATCCCCCAGTCTGCTGTTTAGGGCTTCAGGCCTATGTCCTGTACCAAGTCCCTTTTGTCAGCTGTAGCCATTAGCTTATTGTCACCGAGGCTTGGGAATGACCCCCTAAATTACACGATGAACACATTCTGAAGATATCGTCCAAACTGAACTCAAAAGTAAACTTTATAATTTCTTTCCCTTTTCGTTCTTTCAAACAGAACGGTTGTGAGAGAAAGAAGACAGTGACATATAGTGCACACATCTATCTCAGATGTAACTCTGTGCTAGTGTGTGTCTACACACTGCCGGGACATGCGTGAGGGACAGTCACCTTGTGAAAAGTCACATCTATTTTAACTGCCTCAGTAGCAAACACTGACGGAGCCCCGGTACGTGGGAAACCATGCTGAAGTAAAAACAGAGGCAGAGAATTAATAAACTTGCTCTAAAGCTTGTACGTTCATAATATATTTTCTCTTCCAGGCCAGGTTTGCTGTAAACTCACTTAGGAGACATGCAAGACCCTGTCAACTGGCTTTGGTGCTAGAAAATAACCTTAGTACTGTCCAAAATCACTTTTCAAATGAGGAACCACAATTCCTGCCAGAATCCTAAAGTACAGAGTTGTAACATCTGCATTACCTAAGATAAAACTAAATGGAGGTTTAATTTTTCTCAAACATAGCGATCTTTTTTTTCCCCCTTTAATTTGGAGAAGTTGGTTACTTTCCCTGGTCTGGGGCTGCCAGAAGTTGCCCCACATCCAATCATCCTCAGGAATGCAGGCAGCAGGCTCAGAAGCCCAGGAGTAAACGTTTCTCAACAACTTGTGTCATTAAAAAAAAGGAAATCAATATGATACATGCAGACATTGTCTGGATGTCTGAATAAGTATGTTTTACCTTGACCAACAATGCTGCCAGACAACCCGTGGGCTGAGAGGACAGAGGCCTTATCGCACATGGGGTCTGGGGGCTGCAGGAACTGGGAGCCGGATCGGCGCAGGAGCAAAGCTGCAGTTGATTATCTCTGCTCTCAGCAGCACTTATGTTGTGGCAACAGGGAAAACAGAACAGGTTCTGGCGAACAGGAAGGATGCAGTGGGGCCAAACTGGGCATTTATGAACAGTCGGGGAATGAGTGCTCTCAGTTGATCATGAATTAACCTTTTTGGAGAAAAGGAAACGCAGGATAGAGTCAGGGAGTAAAACTATGTTTGCCCTTCAGAAAGAATGAAACACAAAATTCTCCCCAATATCTGGAAATTTTACGTGATGTAATTTCTGAAGTTAACTTGAAGTGTCTATGTGCACAAGCCGTGGAGAATCACAGGCTCTTTATCAGGACCCGAGGGAAACTGACGAATGTGAGCTGGAAAAAATTCTCAGTAAGGGATTTTTCAGTTGGGTGCTCAGGAGATGTTTCCTCTCCGCCGCCAATGAGGACTGGTGGGGCTTCGTCCTGATTATTCCAGCTGTTTTCATGATAGATTCAACACTGCTCTCCTAGGGAAGGAACCTGCATTGATCTTTAAGACACTGGGCATAAGAGATAGGCTCAGGTGCAGTGTGGTCATTTTGCAGGTGGAAATATAATTAAAGAGAGAAAGAGAAAAAACGAGCCATAGAAAGAAAATGTATACATTCATACTCACATATAAATACATATGTATGTGTATATGTATATTACATGTATACTTTCAACTTGACACTCCATATTTGTCTACCTGAGTCTTCCACAGTACCAAACATATATTACATGCTCAGTATATGTCTTCTGTCTGATGACCTATCATTAATGCAGTGTCCCACGCTACAGTGGAAAAAGAGGAGAAAGGTACACATACCACTGAGACGGTATACAAGCTAAGGTATGAAACAGCTTGATGACTCCAATAGGTCACTTAAAAAATTACAGTAGCTACATGTCTAATCCAGTAAATCTACCAAGGACTTTTATGTCGAGTAGTCTCTCTGGAAACATAGATAATATCTAATTCACGCCCCTTCAACTGAAAATGACTGCACTGCTGGAGTACCATAATTAGCGCTATGAAAAGGAAATCAAAATAGACCTAGGCTGTATTCTGCTTCGAAGGCAAGTTTTGCTGTGCTACCACTTTATAATAAAAGTAATCTGTGCTCAGCGTAAAGAAAAAAAAACCGAACAGTAGAGTAAAGGTAACGACTGTGCTTGCTTTTGTCATTAGTCCTGTTAGCCCTGCAACTGGAACGCTAAGTAATATGCTTATTTCTAGATGAATCAACTTCAGACAGTATGTAATAATTTCTGATATGAAAAATGAGAGATAAGGTATTTAATACACTTATACTACCACCTCCCTTCCGCTTAAAATTTCTGTTAGTTCTGTTAAACTTTAGCGTCTAGTGGGTATTTTAACTTTGAATAAATTTAACCTATTTTTTGATTAAACAACTTCTGACAGTACCTCTTCTTTTATACTATGCAAAGTGAGGCAACTCACATCCCACTATGCACAGCTATACCCTTCCTCCAGCAGAGCCAAGATTTAAAATATTTATATTCTGTTCAGTAACTATTAATGAGTCATCCTCATTAATATTAATTTTATCAATAATTTAATTTTGGGAATTGCCCATAGGCCATGAGAAAAATTATACACGAGTGACGGAATTTACATTATTATAACAACATATATATTAGCCTCTAAGGAACAGTAGAGAGATTGGACCTGCACGGAGGGACGGCCACTACACTTGAAAGAAGGCAAGGGTTCCCATATTTACGTCAAATGGATTCTCATTCTTGTATCTCATCGTGGCAAAGGTTCATTCGTCTCAAGTAAAGGCTACGCTTTTCCTAAAGAGAAATTCAATAGAGCATGCATGTAATGTGTACAAAAATGTTTATATACAGTTTTTAAAAAGTAAAATGAGTTAACTGTAAAAGCACCTTCCAGGCCCAGAAAGGGGACACTGACAAGAAATAACCCAGAAGCCTCCTGAGCTTGTGTCCTATTCAAGCCCAGCTAGCTAGCAATGGAGTTTTGTGTTAATCATTCTCCCTTTCTTGACAGTTTCTGCCACCATGAATTAATTTGTAAATAAAAGTCTTTAGTTTTTCCTGATTTTAAATTTCACATGAATGCAATCATAGTGTAGGCATTCTTCTGGGATTACTTCTGTCATTCAATGATATGACTTTGGATTCAGCCAATGTGATGTGCATAGCTTTGGTTCATTCACCCTCACTGCTGTGCAGCATCTCCTTATAAAAATCTGTCATTTTGGGCTTCCCTGGTGGCGCAGTGGTTGAGAGTCCGCCTGCCGATGCAGGGGACACAGGTTCGTGCCCCGGTCCGGGAAGATACCACATGCCGCGGAGCGGCTGGGCCCGTGAGCCATGGCCGCTGAGCCTGAGCGTCTGGAGCCTGTGCTCCGCAATGGGAGAGGCAACAACAGTGAGAGGCCCGTGTACAGCCAAAAAAAATAAAATAAAATCTGCCGTTTTCCTTTATTTGACACTTTTTCGGTGTTCTACTTAAGAAATACATCAGAAAGATGTTCTCTATTACCTTTTGAAAGTGTATAATTTTACTGTTCACATTTAGGTCTTCTACAAATACCTGGAATAGTTTCTGTATATGATGTCAGGTAGGAGATAGCTTCCTTTTTTTCCCTATAGATAACTAATTATTCTGGTACTATCTATTAAGAAGCCCATTCTTTCCCCATTGATCTACATTGTTAGCTCTGACGCGAATCTAGTTTTCATAAATCTGTGGTCTGTTTCTGGGTCCTTTATATCTGTTTCATTGCTCAATTTATTATTATCTTCATTACTTAGCTAAAACATGCATTCATTCATTCACTCATTCATTCATTCATATAATAATATTAGTAAGGCAAGGCTCCAACCTGCTTCTTCTTAAGGAGTGTCTGAGTTATTTTTGGTCCCTTGTTCTATCAAATAAACTTGAGAATCACCTTGTCAATTTCCAGATACAGGGCTGCTGTTGAGAAGTCAACTGGAAGTTTAATTGTTACTTCTTTGAAGTTATTAAGGGCATTTTAAGAATTTTTCCTTTACCTGTGTGGCTTGCAGTTTAACTATAATACGTCTAGGGTGGACTTCTTTTTATTTATCCTGCTTAAGATTCACTGGGAAGATTCATTGGGTTTCTTGAATCTATGGGTTAGTGTCTTTCAATTCTGGAATATTTTCAGCCATCATCTCCTTTAATATCCCCTCTGTTCCCTTATCTTTTTCTGGAATTCTAGTTAAGTTAATTCTAGTTAATTCTAGTAAATTCTCACTTTATACTCCAGGTTTGTTAACTTCCTTTTCATATTTTCCATTTCTGTCTCTCTAGGCTACATTCTAGATAATTTCTTAAGTTTCCTGATTCATTACTTCTTCTTCACCTATGTGTAATCTGCTGGTAAACCTGACCAAAGAAATTTTCATTTCTGTTATTATTTTCTAACTTCTAGAGGTTCTGATTAGTACATTTGCAAATGTTTTTGTTCTTTATCATATTTTCAATTCTCTCATTTCTGTAAATTAAAGTAAGCACTCTTACGTTACATTCTGGGCTTGGTAATTCCAATATCTGAAGTCCTTGGAGGTCTCTCTAATTCTCTGCTGTCTGTTCTTTTTCCTTGCTCTTGTTTCATTGTACATAAGTGTTTTTGACAATGAGTGCTCATTTCCTGAGGAATTCTATTTCTATTATTATTTATTCATGTCCATTTTCTTTTTCTGGTATTCCTACTAGCTGGATTTGACCTTTCCACCCCGACAAATCTTCCATGTAACTTAACTTCCTTTCATATCTTCCATCTGACTTTTGCTTTATATTCAGAAAAAAAAATGTTTTCAACCTTATATTCCAGACTTCAGACTTCAGCTATTATCTGTTAAATTTTTAAATTTCGTCAACCCTATTTTTAATTCCGGAGTGCTCATTTGTTCTGTAACTGCTTCTTTTTCATACCAATCTGGTCTTTTTATTTGATGCAAATAATTTCAAATCCTTCTGAAGACTGTAAATACATTTGAAATTTTTTTCTTCTGTTCCTTGAATTAAGTAGATTTCCTCTGGGTCATTCCTTCTCTTTGGTGCTCCTGGGTTATGTATTCACATCTTTGAATGATAACAGGCTGGTTAACAAAGGTACTGGCGTGGATTTCCCATATTAGTATATTGATCCATTTTGCTAACATACGTCTCCCTTGTAGGGAAGGGCTGATTTAGGGCTCTTTCTAAGTGGACAGGGTATGTTAACTGGAAGGCTTCATTTAGGGTTCAGGAGAAGAGGCCTCAAGACAAGCTGGGAGCCCTGACTGCTCTCTCGCTCCCCAACAAAAACAGGAAGTACTTTATTCTGGGTGTATAGCATTTCGGTTTACTTCCTTCTTGAGAAAAGTTAGCTCTTCCTCCACCCATCAGAGATATCTATGTTTAAGGTCTGGTATTATCTCAGAATCTATTCTGCTTCTCTCTTAGGTACTAGCTCCCAACTAGAAGTTCTAGTTAGCTGTTCATTTTCTTAGCAAATATTACTATGGCTTTTTTTGTATTTTGTTTTTTTGAGGGAGGAAAGCCAGGCCGAAAGCTCTGTATGAAAACCCGCTAGGATAGTGGTAGAGGAGTAATGGGTGGAAGAATGGCCATGTTCCTATCACTATCACAGTCCACGCCTCTTCTCTTTTGGGGTTGAGAGGAAATCAAGTCTCTCCTGGAGCTCCCAAGGACATTCCCTCTACCACCACAGCTTGTTCCTGTTTGGTTCATTATTTTCCTTTTTTCTTTTTCTGGGCCATGACCTTCCCTGCCCAGGATTATCTATCTAACAGTAGGGTCCTGTCCAGTCTCCATTTTCCAGACACTCAGCTGAATTTCTGGTTCTCAGTGCTGTTACGGATTTATTTGCATCACTCTTGCTTTATGGTTAGTTCAATGGAGACCCTGAAGGCAGGGAAAGAAGCGCTTATGCTCAAGGCTGCCACCTGAACAGGACAGTCTTACGCTTTTAAAAAACTGTAGACATACATCACCTGTTTTAATATTTAAGTTTCTCAATACTTAATTAGCTTCTATTTTATATTAAATTAAATTAATCGGTAATCAGCAAACTGGCTAAAGTAGCTCTCTTTAAAAAGATTTGGATTAAAAAATAATTTTCTGTTTAATTTATACACTCTCTTCTCTTAGTACCTACACAATTTAGTTTTTCTAATTTCAAAAAGATAAAAATGACTGACCTAAAAAGTGGGGAAGGTCAGTCCATCAATACACATTTTGTCTCTCTGAAGTACAGTTTTTTCCTATTTTCTACATATTTACTGGAGTCATGACTCCCAAAGCTGTAATGATTCCAAACCAAATACAAGAAACAGCACAGGAAATGCTGGTGGGACCAGCTCTCCTAAAATTTCCAGTGTGCTATAATCTACAGAGGACACTGCAATTTTTATCTTTATTTTCTTATTTTCCATTATGGTTTATTACAAGATATTGAATATAGTTCCCTGTGCAATACAGCAGGACCTAGTTGTTTAACTATTTTATATATAGTAGTTTGTACCTGCTAATCCCAAACTCCTAATTTATCCCCCCTTCCCCTTTGGTAACCGTAAGTTTGTTTTCTATGTCTGTGAGTCTGTTTCTGTTTCGTAAGTAAGTTCATTTGTGTCATATTTTAGATTCCAGACATAAGTGATATCGTATGATATTTGTCTGACTTATTTCACTTTGTATGAGAATCTCTAGGTCCATCCATGTTGCTGCAAATGGCATTATTTCATTCTTTTTTATGGCTGAGTAGTATTCCATTGTATATATATATATATATATATATATATATATATATATACCACATCACTATGATTTTTAAATAGTGATATTACCTTTTTATAGATGTGCTTGGTTTTGAGGGGCGGGGATTTATTTGAAAAAAAAAAAATCCCCTTACCCCTAGAAAAGAGAAAACCAATTACAAATGTCCTCAGATGATGAAATGCCAGAGGGATTTATACCACACCATGCAAGTGCCGCTCACAATTCCCCAGAAGATAGGTCTGCTTTTACATAATCTCAATCGTAGCATCAGCAAGTGAAAGTTATGGCATGCTGTAAAAATATGCCAGATGAACACAGAAATCTTGGACAAGAATTCAATCTCACACTGAAGGGACAGAAGCAACATTCTGGGGGTCAAGGTAATGGGTTAGTTATTAACTGCAGAATCTCATTTTCATCAGGTGCAGAATGGAGATGTCACGCCTACTTCACACAGCTCTGGTTAGGATTAAATAAAATAGCACACGTAAAGAAGAGACTGAACACAGACGGGACTGAACAGCTGTTTCCTTTGTTCTTCTTTATGTCAAAGACTCCAAGCTGAGAGAAGGTACATTTATTCTATTCTATCTATTTCCTCCTCCCTTTACCATGAGCTGTTTAAATTCAAATGGAAAGAAATGGTGAGGGAAGCAAAGGCACTTCTTCCGCACGCTCTAGCCTTCGGCATATGGTGCTGATACCTACACACCTCGTGGACCTAACCCTGCATCTCCTGATTCCTTTCCTTACTCTTACATTTATTAATTTCTACAGATTTCACGTCCCTTGGCATTTCACCTCTTCCCCGGTGCTAGTACTCACAGCAAATTCCAGCAGAGGGTGGGATAACTAAGGGATACTGCCTGTGGATCATTATGCCATCATCCTCCTACCCTGGCCTTTCTCTAGCTGTGCCTTAAAAGTCTGGGGCTTCCCAATACATTTGTCTGGATGTCTTTTCTTCATAATCCTCCGGCCCTCACAGATGCTCCGTAGGTGAGCCTCAGTTCCTAAGACACACCTACTGGCTCAGAGTGATTTTCATCTTTAAACATAGCTTTGAAATTTGCAAGGGATGCTCTCAGCCCGCTGGCCGATCAGGAGACTAACAGAGCCCAGTCTTCGTGGGTGTGCTTTCACGACATGAATGGGGTAGCTTATGCATATTTAACGCTCAAGAAAACATTAATACCAATTAACAGTGCCAAAGAAGAGAATTAAAACAATACTTCATGGAATGATATTCCCTCTTTGATGATGAAGCCCACATGTTTTATTAGACACTGGGTTCAGTAATGAAATTCCTTCCTGGACCCTTTAGTCTGTTTCTCCCTGGAAGAGGGCATGGTTTCTTCATGGATTCTAAGGACATTTATCATGAGGTCTTCTGATCTCTTTACCCACCTATTTTCTCTCAATTTAGGTAACTCATTAGCTGCCTTTAAAAATTTTTCCCCTCACACATACCAGAGGCCAACTATAAGAAAGGATGGCGTTCCTTCCTCCTAGGGTTGGTTTGAAATTCACCATTTTATGTTTTGGCCCTCCCTCCCTTGAATAAAAAGACAGAGGAGCATTCACGGTCACCATGCATCTTATCCATTTGGGGTAGCACTTGGACAAATGGCCCTCCTTTCCCCACTTGATTTTGTCTTTTAGTGAAATTCTTTTAAACCTCCTCACCTGTTCCACCCCCTCCAACGCCCACATATGAAGCTATAGAGAGAAACTTTTCTTACTTGGATTACTGTGTCCCGAGGAAGTGAGCTGAGAGTCCTAAAAAAAAAAAAAAGAAAGAAAAAAGAAAAACAAGAAATATCAATTAATTTTCTTATTTTCACTTTCAAAATGTAAGTTGAATATGAGATATATTACTGGTCATTCAGAACCTAATCACGGATCATAATCTCTACCAGCTACCGTAATGGGAAACATTTACGTGTTTGTTAAGCAGCTCTGGTAACAGAGCTCACAATCACTTCCATGTTGTATTACAGACTTTTTGTTTTATTTATTGAGGTGAAATTCACATAACATAAAATTAAGCACTTTGAACTGAACAATTCAGTGGCATTTCATACAGTCACAATGTACTAAACCACCACCCCTATCTAGTTGCAAAATATTTCTATCATTCCAAAGTAAAATTCCTTACCCTTTCGGCAGTGTTTCCCCATTTCCCCCTCTCCTCAGTACCTGGTAAGCACACACACATGCACATGTACTTGTTTGGGTCCTTCTTTTCAATCTTTTTTTTTAGAAATTAATTAATCTATTTTTGGTTGCATTGGGTCTTCGTTGCTGCACACAGGCTTTCTCTAGTTGAGGCGAGCAGGGGCTACTCTTTGTTGCGGTGCCTGGGTTTCTCATTGCAGTGGCTTCTCTTGCTGCGGAGCATGGGCTCTAGACATGTGGGCTTCAGTAGTTGTGGCACATGGGCTTCAGTACTTGTGGCACATGGGCTCAGTAGTTGTGGCACGTGGGCTTCAGTAGTTGTGGCTTGCGGGCTCTAGAGCACAGGCTCAGTAGTTGTGGTGCACGGGCTTAGCTGCTCCGCGGCATGTGGGATCTTCCCAAACCAGGGATTGAACCCGTGTCCCCTGCACTGGCAGGCGGATTCTTAACCTCTGCACCACCAGCGAAGTGTCCTATATTATTGACTTTTACTCTAACCCACTTCCCTTTGAATGTACCTTCACTCTCACCACCTTTCTGCAGACGAGGCTGGCAACCATCCCATCAGGGACACTCCACTGAACAACTGCTGTCAATCTCACATTGGTGGGTAGAAAGATTATTACAGATTTCCACTTATCTGAAATGGCAGAAAGCCAGTACTATGTGGTATTTGAGTTCAGTTATTGATCAGGTAAACAGTGATTGAACCTGATTTTATTTCCATTAAAGTGAAATGCTAAATTTTGTCTTGGGAATTCACATCCTCTTTCCTTGCAAAAGTCCCATTTCATATGAAATATACAGGAGAGTTATAAAAGAATGAATGAATTGAGACAGGGTCCATGAAGGACTACTGCCCTGCCCAGCTGGCTGCAAAACCCTGGGGGCCCCACAGAGTGTGCAGATTCTTCATCCTTCACAGAGCCAGGCTGGGTTCAGAGCAGAGGGCAACAAGCCCCAGGCACTGAAGCCCTTTCTGCTTCTGTTTCTCCTGCTGCCCCATCCAGATAGTCACCCTTACACCTATAGCTTCTGTCTCAAAGGCCTTCTCTCCCTTTGTGAACATCGTCCCTGAGTAGATGCCTGGGGCGTGGCTCAACACATCTGCGCACTGTCATTTCAGCCTCCTCTGGGAGCATTCAAGGAGGCCTGCTAGGTTCTCTGTTGGGTCCTCAAGGGTTACAGAAGTGAGGGTACAAAGCCCTTGCCTTCCGGGCCTGGGAGCCCAGTGAGTCAGCAGAGGAGGTGACGTGTATGCAAGTTATGAGAACCCGGGGCTGAAAGGCATTTCACCACTGCTGTGTGGGAGTGCTTCAAGCCTCGAGAGCCTGTCCTCATCTTTGGGATGCATGTCCTGCCATTTTCTGTTTTCTGCCTGGCGAAATTCATTCTTCCTTCCAGGCTCAGAACAAAAAAAGCTCAAGGGTTACCTGTTCTTTGAAATATTCCTGAATCTCAGAAGGACTTATTTGTTTTCTTTATGTTTACATTACACTGTGTCAAATTTCCATTACAGGAGTTGTCTTTTCAACTATGACTCCTTCAAAAAAAAGCTTTATCAAGGTATACATGATATAACATAAACTGTACATATTAAAGTACACAAAAAGAACGCTACTATTATTAATTGTCTTGACCCAAGGATGGCTGCATCCTATTACGTAGCATTTGCTAGTTAAACCACAAAAAGTAACATTTATTTATTAAAAAATAATTCAGAAAAATAGGAAAGTATAAGAAAAAGTTGCCTGTAATTCCTAACAGGGCATTTCTGAGATTACTCTACTGCTTTTAGTGTTTTTTTTTTTTTTTTTTTTTTGCGGTACGCGGGCCTCTCACTGTGGCCTCTCCCGCTGCGGAGCACAGGCTCCGGACGCGCAGGCTCAGCGGC